GGAAAAGACTGACTGGATACTTTGGTGAGTCCCGTCAGGAATTCTGTTTCTAAGAGAAAGATTTAAGGTAAAGATTCTGCTCTTTTGTCACGAGCACTGCAGAAATATACAAAAGTTAAACCCAGTGCACAGAATGTGAGTGCAGAGAACTGAGTGGAAATCAGGCAGAGAAGGTATTTATTCATCATTAACCTTGGTCCCCCCTATGATTATTGTCCACTGGCTCTGCAACGCACTGTCTTCTCCCAGCATTTGAGGGTAGACACGAACAAAAGAACGGGTTAGGGCTACCCTTTGGCTCACAGGCAAAGAATGAATTTTTTTTTTCAACATGCACCATTACTCTTAAAGAATTCTTGACATCTCCAGAAGCAGCAGCTTGCTGCAAATGCACTCTAGAGCTTCAAGTCCAATCCAGAGACACACACCAGAGTGCAGAAATTATGCTCCAGACTCAATTCCTGCTTTCTGAAACAGGCAGAATAATGAAGCCATCCTATTCAGGCACTGACATCAGCTGTATCTCTAGTACACCTACTAGAATTTGCCAGCATTTCTTCCTTCCCTGCCTTAACTTTTATTCCTCCCACAGTTCTTTGGCTTCTACGTGAATCAAATCCCTGCCAGCAATGCTGTCAGATGGCATCCCTTTCAGGGAAAAGCATGCTAGCATGGTGGACTGCATGTCTTGAAAAAGGGAATTCTGGTAGTCCAGGGTCACTGCAGACAATTACAGAATCCAATTCTTCACGGATACTGCCCTCAACACTGAAATAGTGACTGGTTTCATCCTCTTACACAGTCTTTCTATTCCACTTGGTTTTTCAGAGGCAAAAATGCATGCAGCATCCCTGTGTTATAAAAATCTTTCTTGTGCTGTGCACATTGAGCTGCTCTAAGTCATTGTGGGTTTCCACCTAATCCAAAACACTGAGGCACAGTCTGGGAAATGGTAAATGAGGCTGACAAAGAATTAAGAAAAATACTGTCCAGGGAAAATATTTGTTCCAGCTTCACGTTTCTAATTTCTCTTTTCATCTTAATGGGAGTGTGGGAAAGAGGAGGCTCTTGTTTCTTATACCCTCTCCAGTTATAATAATTTTCATAGACCTCCTGAAAAAAGTCTCAGGATATGCTATTAGAAAAATCAAGCAAGGATGAATACAACAGTTCCTAAAGTAGTTATCTCAGGTCCAAGTTGGTGTAGTAGCAGACAGTAAAGCTACAGAAGACCCATTTTAACCACAGTGTTTAAGAACATGCTTGCTTCTTAAATAACTGCCCAGAAGTCCCAAATGCCAACGAAAAAAAGCTCAAGACAACTGTCCACAGGCACAGAAACACATGGTAAACCCTGGCTGCGTCACAGGAAGAGAAAGCATTAAGTCAACCATTCCAGGACACACAGGCTAGAACCAGGGGCTGTGAGGATTTCAGGCTGGAGGCTTCAACCCCCTACGTCTGCTGCTGGAGCATGCGCCAACCCTCCTCCTGCCCTCACTCTTCTCATAGCAGTGGAAAAGATACCCCACACCAACCAGCCAAGCAACTCATTGCTCTTGAACACTGCAAACAGCCTTCCATGTTCAGAGAGAGAAAACAGTTAACTCTAGGGCATATTAAGAGGAGGGAAAAGAAATAGCAGCAGGTTACACCTTTGAGCATCTGCCTGAACTTTCTGCCCTTCTCAAGGAACCTCTTTACTCTTTAGACATCTGTTGACTGGCAATCAGCCTGTCTGCATTACTTATACTTACCCTGGATCAAACAGCTTGTCAGACTTTTACTCAGAGGGCAGCTTGAGGGGAAAACATTTAGCATCTACTACAGCTGATGAACAGGGCTGGTTGTGGGCTATTTCTACTACACACTTACAAGTGTGAGGTGCTGCGTGCCACGCACCCTACCTATACTAGCATTAAAGATTATTAAACTTCCATGATGAAATCTCCCTGCAATTCCTAGTCTAAACATATTCACAGACCCTCAGTGCACAGCATTTTTTCTGCCTAAGGATTTCCCCCAACAAATACAATCACCACCTCTTTTACCCTTTTGCTTTTGACAGTCTCGCCACCTCCCAGCCTCCTTCATCCTTCTCTGTGCCAATTCTTTTGAGCAACTGGCAGGAGTTTGTTAGGATTTGAGTTGTTTGGGTTTTTTTTTTTTAGTAAGTTTGTTTTTTGTTTTTATTTTTCAAAAATATCCTAGAGCATGCCTGAGGATTGCCTCTTACCTTCAGCTGACTCGGTTCAGCTACAGAGCTCTTGGCTGTGCAGGGATGTGGCCAGTCTGGATAGCAGAAGACAAATCTTACCAGTAGAGTTAGCATGCTGAGCAAATCTCAGTAAAACATCCCGACCAACCAAGTCCAAAATACAGGAGAAAAGCAGGGCAATACAATTACCTTTTGTGCAGGAAAAGCAAGCTGCCTCATGGGCTTTAAGGCTCCCAGCGCTGCAAATGTGATTGGAAACAGCTGAGGAGGCACAGCCAGGTGCATGAACAACCTCACACTCCATTCTAAAAGGGACACAATTCTACTCTTCTTTTCCTACAAGAGCTCCTGGCCTTTCAGTGAATGTTCTTCAATGAAGTGAAGTATTTGCATGTTTTAATTTGCAGATCTGCTGAACTGTAGCATTTAGAAAGGCCTGAAAGCATAGTAAGGATGGTACATGTTGCAGTCAGTTTTCTGGACTGCATTGTCCAGGGTTAATGTAGGGTAAAGGAGAGAGGTCAGCATGCAAGGATTTATGGAGAAGAAAGCACACAAACTTGTTTAGCAGCTACATTGATTCTTGACATTAACTTGACCATTTACCTTCAACTTAAGGAAGTCAGCAATCTATGCTTACCCTGTCACGGCAGACAGATGGATGGGGGGTTCCTAATTCTTTTAGGAACAACTTTGAGTAATTTAAGTTTGTTTTAAAAACAGAATAGGGAAGTCAAACGTGAGAAATCGGAAAGGAAAGTCTACAAGAGCTTGAAATTCAACCCCTTAATCTTGGATATTTTCAAAAAGTTTTGACTACTACACCCATGGTACTCAACCAGCCCATGCACTCTTTTACCAACCAACCTCATTTTAGTCCTTCTGATCTTGTCTTTTAAACATCAAGTCATATTTCTAGCTATTCAGCACTAACCTCAGGCTCAGTCCCCAGCCTCACCTGAAATAAAGACCAGCATTTCAGCATTAGTACGGTGCCTGCTACTTAACCACATGCACCTGGAACACTCCGTGCCCTGGCCAGCACAAATTCCTCACACTACAATCAACATTAAAATTAACCTACTGATCTATTTTTTTTTTTTTTTCTGAACTGAATCACATACCAGATTTTCTAAAGAGACTTCAATGGTTTTTATTTTGAAAAGTCTTTACAGAAAGGTAGTTCTTTTCTACTCCCACAGTTTACCAGATCAGCTCCTAATATTTACACTTACAGGCATCTGTGACAACTGCTCCTCTGTACCAGGATTTTTAATTCAGTTGTCCTTCTGCCTCTCTACCTTTTTGTACAATGCAAGAAATTTTGCCTGACTTTTCCTCCACAACACAGAAATACTGTTGTGAAGAAACTCTGCGGTGTAGTTGTTCTGAATTTATACCACTGTGAAGGAGGATCTGTCCCATTAATGCTGGGGAGCAAATACCACCCATTACCATTAAAATGGGGCAGAGTAGAGTAGACTAGGATATACTGTGGGTCAATAAAGCATTTTAATAAGAAATGGGGCAGAATAGAGTAGAATAGGATATACTATGGGTCCATAAAGTATTTTAATAAGATCTCCTTATCTGTAAGGTCGAAAAGGAAGAAAAAACATGTACATAGACTGAATTTGCAAATAATCCTTTTCCATTGATGTTCAGTTACCGGAATTTGTTTGGTTAATTGATAAATTAGCTTCCTATTGGGATTTTGTTAGTGATTTTGGGCTAAAATAAATGTTTGTCAATGACTTAAGATAATATTATGATAATGTTCAGCTAACATGAAGGAAAAAAGTACTACCTGAAAAAAAAAAGTAGCAGTCATCATCACAGACTATATATCCTCATAAAGAAATTGGAGGATAGTCTACGAACCTCATCCAAATTAGTATCCATGCCTACACAGGGTGAAGTTGTATGTGTCGCACAGCCCCTTTTTCTTACTCCAGATGGCTGAATACTCACTGCCATACCATTTTCATTTTATGCTCTGCATCTCAACACAAAAGGAGAGAAGTTTTCAGTTGCTGGGATAATAATCAGTCTTTTATTACACAGGCAGCATTACGAAGGAAAGCAGTTTCAGATTTAGTGGGAGAGAAGTGAACAATGCACTTAAACAGAAAGCAGCTGTGCTTGCGATGCCGTGGCCTCAGCTCTGCCCCATACAACACAGTGCCCTGGGAGCGCTCTGCCGTCAGGGCTCGAACTGCTCCCAGATATTGCACAGCTGACATACCCACACCCAGGTGAGGATGGGAAGGTTTTTCTGTTGGACTCAGTAGTCCCAGATTCAATACATGATCTTGTTTTTCTACAGTTTTGCCCCTGTGTGGCCTACATGAACAGTCTCACAGGTGTGTTACGCTGCAGATACAACCACCGTGACTGGTTCCCCATCCGTGCTGCTTGTTGCTGTAGTGCTAGGGCCGTAATAATAACCTCTGAAACAAAATTGACCTCTAGATGAACCTCACAACCAAACGTTATCCATTATCAGTATCTATTAATTAGTAAAATCTGTATTGCCATTAACGTTAATTATTAGTATCTGATCATTAATGAAATATGTATGCTCGCTAGTGAAAGATGTAACTTAGACAAAATGTAGTCAGTAGTGAGGATGAAATGCTGTGAGAACATGGATCCAACTTCCCTTGTTCAAGGCTGAGAACCCAAGTGTTTGCCCTTGTTAGAAACTCCCTTGGCTCTCCCCCCCCGAGCCCTGGCCAGGCTTTGGGTGGAATCCAACAGCAGGATGAAACCAGATGTTTCTGCTCAAAGCAAAGGTGCAAGTTATTCTGGCTTGCTGATTTTTGGTATGTAAGGCTGGACCCACTTGCTGCGACTTTGGAAGCCTCACCTACGGATGGACACACCGCGTAGGACTTCCCACTTTCAGGGAAAGGGACTCCAAGTCCTCGCTGCAACCGGGGCTCCCCAGTGACTGCGGATCTGGATGTTGGTAACATATGCAAGTGGTGATGGATCTTTCTTAATCACTACTCTCTCCATCATGTAGTGATGAAGTGCATTACCTTGCTTATTCTTATTTTTCTATAATTAACTGTATATAGTAATAATTAAGTGTACTGATCTGTATTTTCTTTATTGCATATTTTCTGTATTACTTGGTTATATCCTTTAATTATTAACAGTAAAATAAGCCTGCTCTTTTTAATCTGGTGTCTGACTTTAATTGGCATCCTTGATCAGCAGAACAGTTGCTGTTGGCACTCCCATCAGCATGGGTTTCCATGGACCTGGGCCAAGCAGAAATCTCCCAGCCCTGGACTTGCAAACTAGAGAGACAGTTTTATCCCATCCTCACTAGTGGATGTCAGACCATCGTTCTGAGTCCATCGGGAGGCATTACAGCCTGAGGGAGGCTAGTTTCCAGACCTACTCCAGAGGTTACTTTCCAAAATGCATCTTCTGCTGATTCATCGCCCACTGACACTGCTGACTTCCTGTAAACACCTGACCCGGGAACATAAATTACCATTAAGGCTGACAAGGATATACCCGCTGCGACAATAACTCACACGGCTGCTGCTTCCTAGCACAAAAGAACATCCCTTTTGCTTTGGCACAGTGAGTACATCCTTTGGGATTATTAATGCAGGCATCTCTTGCTGACATTAATGAGGCTGGTGCACTCTTGACATAGGAGGACAGCCATACTCACACCATGGGGCTCAGACACAGCACAGTGACCACCATGCTCTGAGGGAAGAGTGATTTGTTGCGGAGGACTCATTTCTTAATGTCTTCATTCTCAGCACAAACCTATAAATGGCATTACTCATCCCTGATGATACACGAGATATCCTAGAAAACAGCCACTACTGCTAGGCAGGATGGAAATGATAAAGGCTATCAAATCAATCCCAAGGCTTGAGGGCAGGAGCTGATCACCAGGTGGACGGGAAGGAATCTCTCCTCAGCAATAGCATTACTGCAGAAAGATACGAAGTGGTCATGAGCTGGAAAGGGAGGGAGGGAAACTGGTTTTCAAACATGCAGTGGGGCCATGGCTAAAAAGGAGCAATTGCACTGAATAGTTACAGAAGCCCATCCGAAGACAAGCAACGTGCAGTGTCTTCACCTTCCTAGAGTAAATTTCCACAACGCTCCACCTATCATAAAGCAATCACACAATTCAAGGTTAATGCTTCAAGACACTCTTAAAGGTACAAACTTGGTATAATGTGCACTACGTTAATTACAGCTAAAATTATTCCCAGCATTTTTACTTTGGCACTGAAACATCTGTTTGCATCTGCAACGAGCCTCTCTTATCCCACAGCAAATTGCATAATGTTTTCATTAACACCATCTAGCAAACGACAAGACAATATTCCAGTAATGTTTCTCCCCCTAACAGATGTGATCCTGTTGAAATCTCTCCCTTTGGTTCCCTTTACGTTCTTGCTCCCCTGGAACGAGAGGATATAAAAAAAAAAAAAAAAAGGGGAGAATAAAACATTACAATAAAGGGGAAGTTAAGCAACCTCATTACAAACAACCTAGAGCAGCAAATGGTTTGAGGTTTGGAGAAAAGAAACTTGCATGTTATTTGTGCTTGTTCTTGTAGATGTAATGACCAACAATGTGCCTCAACCCCAAAACTTTATTTTAAATGAGGTAAATGTAGCTGTCACTTTCAAGTGAGTTGACCGGCTGCTTTATGAAGCTGTTCACTGGGTGGACTCAATTACATCTTGCCAAGTACATTTCTTCTTTCAGTCTGATTTCTAGGTTGAGGATGGGATCTCACAATTTTCTGTCTCAACCCAGTCTCTTGTTGAACTGTTTAACCTTTCAGTACCTCACCAGGAACTGCATTCAGACATGTCAGTCTGTTTTCTCTAGATGAGGTGAGTGATGCCCAGTGACCAGAGAGCTCTTATAAATTTGAAGTATTTCCATGCAAAAGAGATCTGACAATGAACATACAGGTTACTCACACACTTTATTTACTGTATATCAATTTCTCAGTAGGAGTGCAGACACAACCAAGCTGCTCAGAGTCTCTCTGAAAGGTATAGCCCGTGTTTGCCCACACAGACCATTTCTGAACCTTTCTTGTTTTGGGAGAGTCTTCTTAAAACCTTCTTAGTTTTTTTGATAATGCTGCCACCCTGGCAGTTGTTATGGTACCTTGTGACCCAGCGGTCACTTGAGCCTGAACTCCACTAACATCCTCTGAAGTTTCTGTGATGGCCCAGCATTCTGAGTCAGGTTTGGAGCCATATGTCTAGCTCGCAAGTAGGGAAATGTGAACATGGGTGGAAGACACTGTCTCAACCTATACTTTGTCACTAAAGGCAGCATGATTGTCCTGATCACTATCCTGCCTGAATATGCTTCACCCAAAATATTCACCCTCTAAGAGTATCTCAGAGACCTTGGTGAGCTCAAGCATGCTCCCATGTCCTCTTGTCCTGTTCCCATGCTGCCCAGCCCCGATGGCCTTTCATAAAAATGCTGTGCATAGCAAAGGCACTTCAGGGGAAATGCAAGAGTGGATGAAAGGGAAGATGAACCCAAGCTTGTTTCTACTCGTGCATCGTGGAGATCCAGCTGGAGTAAACCACCAATGAACTAAGAGTACAAGTAGGTACAAGTGGGGTAGGCACAGTGTAAGCACACACGGGTGCTGCTGTCAAAAGCAGTAGGAAAATATTTCTTCAGACCAAGTCACCTTCTTACATTGTTTCTAGCCTTGTACCTATTAGTACCCAGAGTTACTGGAATAAATCTTGCAACTTGTTTTCAACAGAACTGTTTGGTGTCTGGTTCCTTACTGTTGTCTTCCCCCCTCCCTTATTATTCAAAAGCAATTCATCTGCACAAGAAACTCTGATGATGGGTGCAGTAAAAGAGTAACTTTATGCTGCAGATCAAACACTTATAGCATTCCTAAAATTACAGCATAGAAGTTCCATAGCTGTAAGAAATCCTTTTTTATTCTTCTCACTTAGCCTGGATTATATCAGGACATCACTTTCTAAAATCAATAAGTGAGAAGAAAGTCAGATTTAGCACATGAAAGCAGCAATAAAGTGTGAGCCCCTCTTACTTTCCTCTTCCAGTTCCTTGGTATTGTCCTTCAGAGATCACTCCTAAAGGATCATCCTCAGCTTCTGATCAGAGTCTGAGCAAGGTTTCTTGGGTGAGTTGATGGTCCTGATGAAGCCACTAACAGTCCACAGATTGCTGGACTGGGACTGAACTGAACTCTTCTACTACAAAGATTTACTCCAGCTCTTGCAAATGTTGTTAATCCCAAACTATCTCAAATGTATGTTTTAGTGCGCATGAAGTTGGGTTAAAAAATTATGAAACTGTCACAACAGCAAACAGTTCATTTTAATATTTTCCTGCCTTTTTAACCTTTAGAACTCCCTTTTAAAAACGTCTCTCCCCAATTTTGAAGGCTACAAAATAAACAAAAGCTTAAATTCTCCCTTACTCAAGTGGGGAATTAAAGAAAAATTACTCTTGCCATGGCCAGCAATACTATATTCTCATACACCATCAATAGCCATCTAGTAAAAAACTCAGATCTCCAGCTAAAATTCTTCTTCCTTGCTTATGTTTGGGTTTTTTTTCTGGAAAATTGATAAGCAAATAAAAATCAGCTTGGGTTACCTACCATGCGTGTGCTGATCTGCTCCGTGGATGTGTCCTTGCTGCAGACCTCATTTAGAAGATGTTGCTATGACTCCTCACTCCCTGTTGCTCGATTGGAGCAACCTACTTAGTGTCTTCCTTTATAGTCCAGATTCTTCCAGACTCACGGCTCATGCGATGTATTAAGTGTTTCTACAAGACTTGCTGCTAAACTTCTAACTTCTTGCAACATTGCAAAATTAGCTAGAAAACAGATATGTGCCAGGCTTTGTATGAAGTTATTTGAATATTTGCATTATGGTTCGAAGACACCAACCAAATAATAAGGCTCTTGAACTAAGACTTGAAACAAGTGTGATAAACAAAAAATATAATTATTTCCATTTCAAATTGGGCAACTGAGGCACAGCAGGGTTTAGAGTCATTGTTATGCTGAAAACCTGCAGCAGATACAAGGTTTGAATCTGACATTGCTTTTTAGACATTACTTGGATGCTGTCTTATCCTCTTGGGTGATTATCTACTCTCAGAGTGGTCTTTGCTTCTGAATCAACACTCATTGCCTATCTTGATTTCCTTTCCCTTTCCTTATAATCTAGGCATGTGATTGATTAACCAGTCTATTTCATGAATGTCACCAAACTTTCTATTCGCCTATAACTGTGTTCTTGTGTTTCTGGATCATTAAGCATGTAAATTAAATTCAATTGCAAATTGAATATATAATTGTGCGTACGCAGGGTCCTGAAGAATAGGGAGGACTTTAATGAGAGAAGATATTCCCACATCTGTAATTCTGACCTACTCAGTCTTTCAGAAAGGAATTGCTCAACAGATTTGAAATTGCATCATTTCAAAATCATTTTGGCAGCTTTTATACTCAATTATTTTTCTCTTATTGAAGTTTTCCAGAAAAAGAAGGGCAACATTTCATTCCTTGTTTCTGGTTTGGAACACACCTACTGCTAGATTGTGAACCCTTTGACTTAAATTTAGATATTTAAACTTAGAGGTCTGAACTAAATAGATATTACACCTTCCTTTTCAGTGGAAAGACATGCAAGCGTTTGGACCCTAGAGTCCAGGCAAGGATTGGGCTTTGATACTCCTGGTGCTGGATAGAGAGGCTTCTGCAGCTGGAATACCTCAGTGTAGTGGCTTCGTAGATGCCAGTTTTCCCTGAGAATTACTAGAAAAATCAGGACAGGTCAGTCAATCCTGTTAACCTTTTCCTCCCAGATGTAGGATATCCTTTTTGACAGAATTGAAACCTATGTCCATTCATGGTGGGTTGGAAGGTCACAAAAACTCGGAAGGTGAACTTTTGTATTTTCTTTTCCTCAAACACAAAGGAAAAAAAAACCATCTACTTATGAGGATTTTTCTCCCAGAATGAATTGGCTCAATTTTGGATCATTTGAGATGCAACAACATAGGGCTTTGCCAAGAATATTTCCTTATCAGAGCAGATTTACATACATTGCTCATTTCTCATAACCTCACATGTGGTTCTCTAAATATCAGGTGGACTCTTTGAGTAAGGAAGTAAATGGGAAAATGAGATCATAGCTTCTTTTGGATTAGCAGTCAATAAAGGCTTACTGGCACTTTTGGCAAGGAAAGGGGTTTTAGCCTTCTAACTTTCTGGATGCAATGCATCACTTGCCTACTACATTTTTTGCATTATTGTTAGACCATTTTAAATACTGAAGAGTAAGTTTGATAAAGCAGCAGTTACTTAAGAGGACCAACTTACTCCAGTGACAAAGACGTAATCACCGTTGCAAGTCTTCTAATAAACAAATAAATCCATCATGTCTTGGACAAATTCCAGCCACGTTAATCTTTCATGAACTGAAAAAAATAACTTGCAATAATTAGTTTATAGTGTGGCTTTTGCTACTTTTCCTTTTCAAAAAACTATTTGTGTTCTGATCTTGATTGTTTCATATGTATTTACTCTTCAATTCTATTCATTGCATCTACTAAAATACTTTATTTCTTGGTATGTGGTTTATGGTTGGCTTGCAAACAGGTAGCCATGAGGTTTTGCAATCCATGAAACTCTGACGTGCTGCTTTGTAGCAACTAGACAGAACTGCCCACAATTTGGTTTCTGTGTCTTCAGGAAAGAGGATGACAATCACCCTCATGGAAGTTTTAATTTCAGTTTAGTAGTATTTGTAACCTGAAAATTTACTTCACTTAAAATTTTATGTCATTAAAACTTTACTGTTAGTAAAATAGAATATCAGCATGAAAGGTTCATAAGAATTGCTACAGTAATTGCATTTTTAAATTAAAGAATGATAATAGACATTTTTTAGTTTGCAACGTTTGTCCAGTAATTATGCTGTACCTGCCTAAAATTACAGTCTGCAAGACATTGAGTGAAGTTATTCTTGACGCCTTATCTAAACTTCATGTAATCCCTCAGCACTGTAGACATCTGCTCATTTCACTGCTGCATAGTGCTGCTTCATTATCTCCCCAGAGATTTGTGGGCATGTGGTCTGCAAAGTGCTGGGGGGTACTGGTATTTGTGAAAGGTAGCAGCAGCAGCAGCCACTGTCTGCTCTACCGTTTTCCTCAGAAGGTTTTAAAACGAGTGTCATATTTGGCTCTGTTCAGATTACTTTTCAAAGCAAAATATGCAAATATCCTAGAATTAATCTGCACAGGGGATATGTGTCTTTTCTTTTAAAGATATCAGTTCACTCAGCTTGCAAACACTCCATTTCCAGCTGTCAAATCTGAAGCATTAAAATCAACAGCCTTAATTATTTATTGTTCTCTATACCTACTAATAGCCGCTTAATTGTTTTTTGGATAGGATATTTTTAGAGGAAACCATTAAGTTTTCATACTCTGGCATTGTCCCAGACTAGAAAATTAATGAGAGGCTCTTAATTTAGCCATAAACAACTGACTTTATTTAAAACATTCCAGTTTCTGACATTACTTGATTAATCTTCACATCCTGTCCTGACATACTGCTGCTTCTGGCTGTGAGATATTTGTTGTTTCTCCCTAGGGATGTTCACAGTTCACCTGGTCCTGCTGCTCCCTGAATCTCAAGAGGTGTGGGGAGTTAGCCTGGGGCGCAGGGTTGAAGATGCCAGCAGTGGGATTTGAGGAGTGTTGCCATATTATTTGCCCCTGTCCTCATTGCCCCACTGCTTTAGCCCTTCGCTCTCCCCACTGGCTACCCCTTTTTTCAGCTCTGGCACCCCATGATCCACAAACACATCTTTAGACTTGTTTCAGCAGCAGGAGGGTTTCAGGGACAGACCGTGCCAATGGCTGCAGGGAGACCCAGGGTGCATCTGTGATCGAACAGGCCTGCAGGAACCCTACAGATATTATATGACTTGTACAGGTGGGCAGGAGCTCCGGACATCAGCATGAGACTTTCTAGCGAATAACAGGGTTATCTTAGCCCTGCTTTGGTCCCAGACTAGCTTAAAAACATACTGGCTTCGAGTGGCCTGTCTGAGTCCTACCATGCAAGTGATAAACGAATAATATAGCTAGAGAGATACATCTTACTGTTCCAAGTCTTCAGTCCCTGCTCTAGGACTGACTCCTTCTCCTCTTACCTCCTCCCCCAGACCTTCCCAAGTTGCTCTGCTAGGTGTTTGTTTTGACTCTTGTCTCTTATTTTAAAACGGCCAGTATCACCATCACTAAATGTAACTTGTAATTTTCTTCTAATTCCTCCTGGTATAGATTTTTTTGCTCCCCAAAATGGAAAAAAACCCAACAAACAAACAACACAAGTGCAGTCACTTTCTAGTAGCTGCAGAACAGCTGGTTTCCTGTCCTTTTTCCTGGAATTTTCTTTATTTAAAAAGAAACAGGATGATTTTGAAGTAGTCACCAGAGGGTTCCAACTGATGGAAATAAAACACCCTCAAGGGACCAGCATTTCCCTGTAGAGATCCACTGCTTTGGTGAGAGTTGCAAGACATTTTTAAAGAAGCAGTGACGGCTCTGCTGGTCCAAGCACTATGCCTTCTCTCTTCAGGTGGGGAGAAGGGTTTGGGAGCAGAGGCCACATGTTGCACTTCCCTACTTCAGTGCCTATTCCCTTCCTTCAGAGCACAAAAGTCAGACAGAGGACTGCTATGAAGAATGCAGGTGAGAACTGCCTGCCCGGTCCCCTCAGGCTAGCTTTATTCCTTTTCAGATAAATGTCTGCTGCAACCATGTTTAGTAGGAAAGAAAAGTGGTCGGTCAAGAGTAGAAGAGATGAGTAAGGACTTCTCAAGAGATCACTAACCCATTTTTCTGTAGCAGGGAACAGCTAGGATGAATTTCCTTGTCTTTACATCACATATTTCTAACAAAACCCCCCATATTCAGATATTAATTTAGTACTAGATGCAAGGGGTGGATTGCAGTCCCTGGAGAATGAGGCCATGTCCTTACCTCAAACTCCAATGTGATCCAGTAAAACATGGAGAAGATCCCATTTCAATGCTTTTATCAGTCCTGTCCTGGGCTGACCTCTGTTGAAGGTTAAAGCAGCCCTGATCTTCACAGCACTGCTGATCCTAAATCTAGGCAGGAATGCCACAGCACTGATTAAATAAATCAGTTCCCCACCTAACAGCTGGTGGAATCTCTTTCCTGTTGGCATACCTATGTCCATGCTAGGTTTTGGCTGATGGTTTGTTGTTAGATGGAGCATGTGATTTTTTTTCAGGTCCTAAACTGATAATGCTAGACTGGCAAAACACAGCCACCAGGCACTACCTGGTACTACTCACCCACTACGCCAGGTACCATCCCTCTATCCTGGGTGTGCGTACGTGAGGTGCTGAGATGGACTCTCCGCTTCAGAGCCACTCACCTCTCAGCTGCCCACGCTTACACGCAAACAAGGAGGAAGCTGAAATTTTCTTTTTGCAAGCACATGGCAGAGTCAGAGCAAAAAATAGCTTTAAAAACTGTTTGATAGGGGTCATTCCATCAACACTAAATTATTAAGCCAGATGGAAGCAAAATCAGGAGGGACCTTCTTCACCTGCAGTCAGCTATTGGAAGTGCAAATCAGAGGCAGGGTGAAAAGCTGTGTTCAAGACTGGTTATTTCCCTCACACACACTTATAACCCTTTGGTGCTTTCTAAGAATAAAGTGGTTGTGAATAAGAAAATCCTTCCTAAGACTTTGAGTCCTTGTTGAATTTTCACACTGCACATGGGGACTATGACTACAAACCCAGCGTTCCCAAAGCAAGTTCATCTCACCAGTGTTCATCTCACCATGTAGGCACTGGAGAAGAAGGCGACACATTGTATGGAAAATCTCCATGTGGGGAAAAATGGTGTATTTGCAAGCACAGTTCAGATGCTGGAAGATAGATACAGAAAACCAGTATGGCCCTGACTCAAGGGTTGAAGCAAAGTGGAGAGGGACCAAAGCATACATCCTGGTGCGTTTTCATAGAGAAGGGATGAGTCAGTTTTGATAGGTGCCATGACAGCTGTAAAGTTCAAGAATGAAGTAAAATCCAAAGAAAGGATGGAAGTTTTTAATGGTAAGAAGTCCTAAGTTCTAATGGTTGCTGTAAAACAAGCATTTTAGAAAACGTAAACTCTCTTACCTCAGCGTTTAGAGATCATAAGGATGACATCTGAGGAATACACGTTATCTCACATCGGAGGGCCTTGAACCCTTCTCAGATGTGTAGGGCAGTGCCAAACCGTCAGCTTTCTATGACTCCCATGGCAGCTCTCCCTCCTGGAGTTGTGCCGTCCTCACGAGCCACGCCAACCCCGTGTGCCTCACTGCCAGTCCCACAAGGTTATCCTCCCTAGCCTGTGTGTGACACCACAACACAATCCCCTTTTAATGATTTTCCAAATCAGCTGACAGCTCCCGCCAGTCTCCCTGGAAGTCACAGATTTGATAGCTTGTCTGACTGGTTTGTAGGGCAGTGCAAAGCTTCTGCCTCGGAAGGACAAAATAAGAAAATCTGTATTCCCTCCCCTGCCTTTCCCCCCACTGCTTTCATCAAGCAGGTTTTCATGGGGTTTGCGACAAGTGAAACAGGCATTTAAGCACCATGTTACAAATGCTCAGAAATAGAAGAGCAAAGGTCCTAGGTCCCCTCCTGGTGTTGCTGGCTAACAGGCTTTTCTCAAGGTGAGGAGAATAGGGCAATATGATTAACTTCAGGTAATGAAGTGACACATTCATCCTCTATCCATCTATTCTTGCAACCTTTAAAATGAATAATAAATAAAAACCCAAGGAAGACTTTGTAGGCTTTGTTGGCAAATGTTTCCCCTTCAGCTAATGGCAATATATCTTTACACCTGCTCAGTCAATTTTTAATCAAAAGTAGAAATACCCTCTTTGACTTTTTGTTCAGAATATCAAAGGCAATTTTCAAAGGTCTTAGTATCAGTTAAACACCCAGACTCTGCTGGAAATTCATGTACATTGCCTATTGAATTGCTTCTATGTATGTCTCCAAAAATCTCATCATACATCCAGACATATTGTGTGATGCAGTGAATTAACTGGATATAAACAGAAATGTAATGTTAGTTCAGTGCTTCACCAGGGCTCATTTATCCTGTTTAGAAATATGCTTGTCTGCTTCTGGTATTCCACCTAGTTTGGGTATGATATTATTCACTGAAAATATCCCCTGCAGATAACAGGAAACACACACAAAGCAATTTCACTATAATTGATTCCTCCGTCAAAATGATATAAAAACAGAGTAACTTCATAATGATTTGTAGAGAAAATCCATACTTAGTCACTAAGATCAGAATAAGATTTCTTGAGTTATTGAAGATTTATGCTAATATATATGAAAAATCAGAATCCAAAGATCAGAATAAGTGTCTATTCACGAATGCAGATTGATTATGCACATACAAACATTACATCTTGCATGTTAATCACCGAAGGTGTCACTGAGTGCAATGTACTGTTCCACAGGGCAGCAAAGGCCTATATTCCATCACAAAGATGGTCCAGCAATTATGTTTCAGGTGTGAGTTCACCCGATATCATAGACATGATGACAGCATACCTGGATATACTGCTGACATGGCCTGCTTCAGGAGCTGCTGTTCTGGGAGGTGAAAGAAGTTCTGGAAGAGTCTTTCAGCTCTGCTTTTTTTTCTTTTTTTTTTTTTTTTAATTTTTAAGATCCCTTAAATATGGATCAGGAATCTCCTATCCGACTTTACTTAAAATAGCATCTTCACTATAACCAGTAACCCAACTGAGTAAATGATTCCCAGCTGCAATGAAGCGTTGCCAGTTTTGTTTCTTTGAGGACAGGTGTTTGTTTTTTTAATGGAATTGACCACAAATTCTGGGCAATCAGGCCTTGCTCCCAAAAGGTCTTTCATCCATCATTCCTGTTTATCAAGAAGTCATTTTTTAATGTCTTGAAAAGATTTTAGAGGAGCATTTTTGGGATAAAAATGCAACCACTTCTACACTTACTTTTATTCATTAAGCCACCAGTACACATCAGTCATCCTGGCTCTACCAAACATGTAAAACAGAACTTTTCAGATCTTAGGGTTTAAAGGTTTTCTAGCAATCTCCTTCAATTCTAAACCAACTTTTCTAAACTTCCATTTTGATCACTCTGCATGAGAAGTTCACAAATTCTTTACATCTGTAACTCCTAAAAACGTTCAGATGGAAATGTGGCCCCCTAGGGCCACAAATTTCAGTCTACAGATGGGAAGCTTTTGTTTTTCCAGGTTATTTTCCATGAGCCTGTAAAACCTAATGCTTAGATCAATGGGGTTCCATGGACCACAGCTTGAAAACCTCCGAAGTAATTCACATAAAAGTTACTCTCTCCTGGCATGCAGGAACAGGCCGTGCTCTGTAGAAGAAGTAGGTTCAGTAAATTACATTCTTGCTCTAAAACTTTATAAATTATACACATAAAAACTTCCAGGACCACAAATGCATAGAAAAGGCAACAAATATAATATTTATGCCAGTTAACAGGCTAATGTCTCAGCCTTAAAGTCATTCTTGCAGGAAACTGAGGGATCAGGATTTCTTTGGCACTTTCAGGACATCATTGTATGGAATCCTCAGAGAGTAGAAGGTTATTTCTCTGAAAGAATATTCACATAGGAACATTTTTACAAATATGGCTTCCATGCAGTGGAAATTTAGAAATGCCTAGAACTGGCTCAAAAGGGAGCTAAATGGGAAATTCCAGAAGGAAAATGTCCCCCCTCCACGAAATCTTTTAAATTTCAAGTATTTAAAAGGTGCTGAGTTTGACAGTCTGTATCATTGCTTGAAAATAGAGATTTCCATCAAACTGTCAAGAAAAATATTCCTTATAATTCTACAATTTCAGAGATCATGAAGTATGGGAAAGAAAAAGTGAACAAACATACAAGGCCTATTTCCCCATCCTGCTTGTCACTGATGAGCCGTATGACCCTGTTAGGGGCAAGGTAATAAACTGGTGATATCCAAAAGGTATAAAAAGCACACCTGAAACCAGCAGAAATTCACATTTCTCACAACTCAGTAGCACCTCTGTCACCTCCTGGTTGGATTACGTGTGTTCTAACTCAGAGCTCAGAAAACCTCCAGCTGGATGACATGGAGCGAGCCACTCCATGCCACAGTTCCCCACGCACGTTCCCAGGATCACACCAATTCCCAGCCTCTCCAGGAAGGTGTGGGAAGGGTAAACACACAATGACTTTTGAGGTCCTGAGCCTACAGTTACTGGGGTCACGCACGTTAAATTCATAGACTGGCCCAGCTTCTCCAAAATAACCATGGTATATATTCTACATCCTCACATTTTCCTCTGTCTTGCATTCCCTCACAGTCTAACTCCATACTTAACCACCTCTTGCTTCCCAAGAACGGGCCTTCCTGCAAGCACTCCAGCATAGCTTGGGAAGGTTCTGATGAC